AAATGTTTCATCGAGATTCAACCGCTAATAAATCAATCAATCAATCAATCAATATGCAAGCATATTAGTATAAAACCTTATCCCGAATTGATACGATATGGATATCTATTTGCGAATTTGTACCAATGCGACATACATTTTGTAAATGTAAACAGAAAAAAAAAACAAACAGCAAAACAGGTGTGGAAGTATTGCATTACTATTAGGTAGGGAGGTATATTAACTTATCGGGAGTTGATCTCACTAATTATGTAGTTACAAGTTATTTGAATGACTTTGGCATTTATTTATTTAATTATTTATTTTAAGCACGCTGATAAATATGCATCACTCACCGAAAAAATGTTTATAGTTTGGCATGTAATATATGTATGGATATGTATATATATGTATTAGGAAATAACCTGGGAATCAAATGCAATTAAAGTATTTAGAATGGTGTGGGAAATAAACCTATAGGTGATTTGAAGGAACTTTAAAAGTAGGGCTAGATGTACTACGAAACCAAAAGCTTAGAAGGATGATTGGTAGGCAATTTTAAATTCTTCGTATAATAGGTATATACAGAGATATAGGCAAGGGTTAGATGTGGAAACATAGGTAGGGTGGAGACAGAGGGTTTTGATGAGTGGGTATGTAAGATATGTTATTTGAGAAAATGAGACGGCGAGACACTTAATTACAATTAAATAGCAGTATAAATTAAAATTTATCTGATTTCGGAATATCTTGTAGGTAGAGACAGAGGCAGTCTCTAGCTGAAGATGGCACCTTAGGTGCCGAAACGCGTATGAGTTTGCGAACGTTTTATATAGAATTTTGAGTTAATAATATTCTATTTAGTTCAATCAGCGTTTAGTTTACTTGATATGTAAATATGTTACTATAACTAAACTAAATTAAAAATAAGTGAAACTTTCTAATCAAATTATTACAAGTAAGCCAACAAAAGCTTGTTAGATTCTAATTTACTTATACATAAATAATTATTGAGAAGTTTTATTAGAGTTTTAAAAATATAAAAAAAGGTACCCGTGAACCTAAAATTATTAACAG